AGTTCCTTCAATTGTATAGGTTTCAGGCCAGGCATGGTGGCTAACACCTGTAATCCCAGCACTTTGATAGGCTGAGGCAGATGGATCACTTGAGGTCAGGAGTTTGAGACCAGTCTGGCCAACACGGTGAAACCCCATCTCTACTAAAAATACAAAAATTAGCCAGGCGTGGTGGTGGATGCCTGTAGTCCCAGCTGCTTGGGAGGCTGAGGCATGAGAATCGCTTGAACCTGGGAGGCGGAGGTTGCAGTGAGCAGAGATCGCGCCACTGTACTCCAGCCTGGGTGACAGAGCCAGACTCTGTTTCAAAAAAAAAAAAAAAATTGAAAGCTGTATAGATTTCACCCTTCTTGGAAGGCAGTTGTGGTAATGAAGAACAAAACCTATATCCTGGTTATAATGGTCGGAGGCATTGTGAAGGAGAAGCTTATAGCAGAGGGGTCTTGACCTAGTGTGTGGGGTGGGGAAGGTGTGCTCGGAGAATATGGCTAAGAGTTGAAGTCTGAATAGGAGCTGGCCATGAAAGTAGGGGAACAAGAACATTCCAGGGAAAGCCTAGAACGAGTGCAGTGGTGCTGAGGAAGGAAGGCATCCTGGAATCCCAAGAATCAAAAGAAAGCCAGAGCATGTGGGCTGTGAAGACAGAAGGGGGAATTGCTTACAAGGAGGCTTTGGGAGTGACGGAGGCAGGTCTTGCCCAGCAATGTAGGACTTGCAAGTAACTCTGGACTTTCCCCTGGATTGAGCGACTATGCTTTAAGTGGGAGAGTGGGGGTTTCCTTTGCTGCAGTGTGGAAGGGGGTTGGAAAAGGATGAATATGAAGACAGGGAGACGAGGGAGGAAGCTGCTGTAACAGGCAAGGGGGTGGTGATGCTGGATCTAGATGTAGCAATGGAGGTGGAAATGTAAACCACCCACAGGGTTTACTTTGCCCGCTGCCTGGAGAGAGCTAATTCATCAAGACAGGTGAATTGCGATAGATAAAGAGTAATTCACGCAAAGCCGTCTGAGCAGAGATTAGAGTTTTATTATTACTCAAATCAGTCTCCCGTAGCATTCGGGAAGCAGAATTTTCAAGGCTAACTTGGTGGGTGGGAGGAAGCCAGTGAGCCAGGAGTACTGACTGGTCATACTCTATGATGAAATCATAGACAGTCGAAGCTGTCTTCTTGCGCTGAGTCAGTTCTTAGGTAGGGGGCCAAGATCAGATGAGCCAGTTTATTGATCTGGATGGTGCCAGCTGATCCTTCAAGTGCAGGTCTGCAAAATATTTCAAGCACTGATCCTAGGAGCAGTTTGGCCTCCAGCTTCATGACTCCTAAACCATACTTTCTAATCTTGTGGTTAATGTTAGTCCTACAAAGGCAGTCTAGTCCCCGGACCAGAAGGAGATCTGTTTTGGGAAAGGACTGTTACCATCTTTGTTGAAGCTATAAACTATAAACTAAATTTCTCCCAAAGTTAGTTCAGCCTATGCCCAGGAATGAACAAGGACAGCTTGGAGGGTAGAAGCAAGGTGGAGCTGGTTAAGTTAGATCTCTTTCACTGTCTCAATCTTAATTTTGCAAAGGTGGTTTCAGAAAGAAGGGATGGATTTGACATGTATTTAGAAAGGATTTAACGACTGAGTGGATAAGGAAGGTGGGGGAGGGGAACAATCAAAAATTGCTCCAGGTTCTGGTCTGAGTGACCAGGTGGTTGGAGGAGCAGCTTGGTTGCCGGGTTGTTTGGGTTGTAGCAAGGTTGTAACTTAAGGTTCAATCAGGTCGGCCAGGCGTGGTGGCTCACGTCTGTAATCCCAGCTACTTGGGAGGCTGAGGCAGGCGAATCACTTGAGGTCAGGAGTTTGAGACCAGGTTGGCCAACATGGTGAAATCCCGTCTCTACTAAAATTACAAAAATTAACCGGGCATGGTGGTGGGCACCTGTAATCCCAGCTACTTGGGAGGATGAGGCAGGAGAATCACTTGAACCTGGGAGGCAGAGGTTGCGGTGAGCTGAGACCATGCCACTGTACTCCAGCCTAGACGACAAGAGCAAAACTCCATCTCAAAATAAATAAAGAAATAAATATACTGTTGAAAAGGTTCAGTCAGGTTGAATTGGAAGTACCTGTGAGTCATGTACATGGAGATGTCAAATAGGCTGTTGGAAGGTTGGCCCTGGGACCCAGAAAAGGGACAAGGAGGAGGAGCCTCCTCTGGAGTCCCAAGAGGTGAGCCAGAGTAGTGGGAGGAAACCCAGGAAGCAGGTGGAGGGCAGGTCAGGTTGGACTAGATTTAGTTTTGATGTTGTGATAGGATCCAGACTAGAGTGGAAGCAAGTGACAGCTGGTTATGTTTAGACTTCTCTCTCTACCCAAGAAGAGCCCATTCTCATGCCCCAGACAAAGGGAAGCGTCTTCGGAATCACTTGGAAATGCCAATCATACTGATCCAATTGGGTGCTGCACAGCGTGGGAACTAGCCTGGAGACAACTGAGCGAGATTTTATGTTTTTTTCTTTTTTTTCTTTTTTTTTTTTTTGAGAAGGAGTCTCACTCTGTCGCCCAGGCTGGAGTGCAGTGGCACGATCTCAGCTCACTGCAGGCTCGATCTCGGCTCACTACAGGCTCTGCCTCCCGGGTTCACTCCATTCTCCTGCCTCAGCCTCCTGAGTAGCTGGGATGCCCGGCTAATTTGTGTAATTTTTTTATATTTTTAATAGAGACAAGATTTCACCGTGTTAGCCAGGATGGTCTCGAACTCCTGACCTTGTGATCCGCCCACCTCAGCCTCTCAAAGTGCTGGGATTGCAGGTGTGAGTCACTGCACCCGACAGAGATTTTACGTTTTTAATCTAATCCCTTTTGCAATCCAAAACCAAGAAACCAAGGGAGCCCTGACCTTTACCCTTAGCCTCAATGTACTCTAATGGGAAATCAGAAAAACATTTATGAAAATAATTTAGGTCACAGCAAATCATATTCCTCCTATGCTACAGTTAGACAAATATGAACACTGCTGCAATCAAAGAAAGACCTTTGAGGCAAAGGTCAGATTTATTTCCTGCTGCTGGACCGAGTGTTCTTTGGTGTATGATATCGGAATATGAGAAGAAAACAGAGGGCCGGGGCCGGGCACGGTGGCTCACGCCTGTAATCCCAGCACTTTGGGAGGCTGAGGCGGGCGGATCATGAGGTCAGCAGATCGAGACCGTCCTGGCTAACACGGTGAAACCCCGTCTCTACTAAAAACACAAAAAATTAGCCAGGCCTGGTGGCGGGAGCCTGAGGTCCCAGCTACTCGGGAGGCTGAGGCAAGAGAATGGTGTGAACCCGGAAGGCGGAGCTTGCAGTGAGCCGAGATGGCGCCACTGCACTCCAGCCTGGGTGGCAGAGCGAGATTCTGTCTCAAAAAAAAAAAAGGCCGGGCGCGGTGGCTCAAGCCTGTAATCCCAACGGTGAGGCTTCAAAGAATGAAACAGAAGGTCATTTGTGTCTTTACTGCTGCTGGCGGTGCAGAGAGGGGGCGAGAGGTCAGAGATCGAGACCATCCTATGCTCCCGGTGGAAACCCAGTCTCTACTAAAAAATACAAAAAACTAGCCGGGCGAAGTGGCGGTGCCTATCTCAAAAAAAAAAAAGGCCGGGCGCGGTGGCTCAAGCCTGTAATCCCAGCAATTTGGGAGGCTGAGATGAGCAGATCACGAGGTCAGGAGATCGAGACCATCCTGGCTAACACGGTGAAACCCCGTCTCTACTAAAAAATACAAAAAACTAGCCGGGCGAGGTGGCGGGCGCCTGTAGTCCCAGCTACTCGGGAGGCTGAGGCAGGAGAATGGCGTAAACCCGGGAGGCGGAGCTTGCAGTGAGCTGAGATCCGGCCACTGCACTCCAGCCTGGGTGACAGAGCGAGACTCCGTCTCAAAAAAAAAAAAAAAAAAAAAAAGAGGACTGGGCCCAGTGGCTCACAACAGTTTGGGAGGCTGAAGTGGGAAGATCCCTTGAGTCCAGAAGTTTGAGACTAGCCTGGGAAGACCACTAGGCCCTGTTAAAAAAAAAAAAAAAAAAAAACTAATTAGAAGAAAAAAAGGAAATAAACAAAGAGGCCTCTTTTAGCAGAGATGACAGAGTCAGACATAAAAAGCACGAAGGGATGCCAGAAATGTGGTGCTACACCAAATGTCCCCCTTACTTGCTGATCACTAACGTGGTCTAGAGGTTTGCCAGTGGAGATTTGCTCTTTTGAGGTAGGGGATTACGCCCCATTAAAAACAGGATGCACCTAGAAGAACAGAGGGTGGAGAGGCACACAAAAGTCCTTAGGGAGTGCTTTACCACTAATGCACTGGGGATCCTTAAGGGGAGGTAGGGAAGTACAAGTCTCACTTCTTGAGAAATGGCCAAAATGGGGTTTTAAAGGCATACTCTGAGCATTAGCACTCTTTAGGCAGGAAGATATTGGTCAGGGCTGCTTGGTAAGGATGTTCAGGTTGTGCACTCTACAGATGCACATTTATCACAGCCAGGGTCTCCTGCAGAGGCCCTGATGGCAGTTTTCGGAAGGTAAGGTCCACCTGTATGAGAGATAGAGGCATAAAATATACGTAGATGAAGGGAGTCCCTTCCTACTTGGCAAAGTATGTCTTTATCTGTACTACCTAACCCAGAACAATACATAACTAAGTGTTCAAAGGATGATTTTTATAGTGTCAATGTGAAAGTATCTTTTATTCTAGTGCCTTTGCTTTAAAAACCAGTATAAGGCTGGGCATGGTGGCTCATGCCTGAAATCCCAGCACTTTGGGAGGCCAAGGCAGGCGGATCACGAGGTCAGGAGATCAAGACCATCCTGGTCAACATGGTGAAACCCTGTCTCTACAAAAAGTACAAAAATTAGCCAGGTGTGGTGGCACATGCCTGTAATCCCTGCTACTAGGGAGGCTGAGGCAGGAGAATTGCTTGAACCCTGGAGACAGAGGCTGCAGCAAGCTGAGATTGTGCCACTGGCCTCCAGCCTGGGTAACAGAGTAAGACTCCATCTCAAAACAAACAAACAAACAAACAAACAACAACAACAACAAACAGTATAATAGAAGCTTGGGCCACCAGTCTCATCCAGGCCACACTAGGGTCAGTGACTGTGAGAGCTTCAGATTCAGGTTTTTGGTGGAATCTGTTTGGTGTGCCAGAAATATGCCTTGCACCTGTTTACAGGGATGGAGGAGTGAGGACTGATGGGGGCCAGAGATCCAAAGTTCTTGTATCTCCTTAAGAAGTTGTAGGAGCAAGCAGAGCAGTCTGAAATTGTAATTGAGAACAGAAGACCCTGCAGGTGGGCATATTTGCACACACGGCTTGTGTGGGCGTGGGTGTGGGTGTGTGGATGGGCAACATTGAAGAGGATATGAAAGGTGATTCAAAAGTCAACAGGTCGAATATGGAAATGCTAGGAGGACATCTTCATGTATCTACTGTAGAGTACAACTTTCAGTTTATGGAAAATGTCCAGCTCTTTTAGAAGGTAAACATTTTCTGTGAGCTCTTGAATATACATTTTATGGTGCCTTATACATTTTTTAACTTTCAAAACTCTGGGTTGGGTAGTTATCAGTACCATCTTCACAAATTCTGGATTCTTCTGGATGTTCTTGACTATTCTGGGAAGATTGGTGTGTTTGTTCTCCATCTGCCTTGTACTGAGGTCTGCAGACTTCAGGGATGTTACAAGGTTTCAATTTGCTGTGTGCGTTAGCAACTGCTGGAAACTACCCTGCCAAATGTGTCATAGACACAAGAGGGCGATGTGCGCTCAAACGTCAACCTGGCCGAGGAAAAGGAATTCATCCTTCAGGAATTTTGGGCTGAATTCCCAGACCTAAAAAAGATTAACAAAGTGTGTTTGGGAGGGGCAAAACTCACGCTGAAACCTAATCAAAGAGGCAGGATGTGATGTCAGAGTGTGGAGACAGCCTGGCAGGACCTTGGAGGGGATTCTTATCCTTGGGTTCAGAACTGGGCAGTACTCTAGGCTAATGATCATTATAATCAAGACTCGTCCTCTGTCTGGACATTCAGAAAAGACAGACTTCAAGGCTGCAGAGAATCAGTGGCTGTCTTGGTCTCTGATTACAAAACCTTATTCTGAGAAAGCCCCTCATTCACTGGAGGAAAACTGGCTGTGCACTTGTTACATGCCAGACATGAGTCTTGTAGGGGCTAAGAATTCAGCTCTGAGTAAGACAGCCGAGGCCACTGCCCTCTGGAAGCGTCAGTGACCCTTGGCATGTACTCCCATCTATTTGTTTCTTTTCTCTCTGAGCCAGTCCAAACCAGCAGTGTCTACATCATCTATTCTTATTCTGAAAGAGAATGCAAGTCACACATTCATGGCTGTGGGCCACATTTTTTTAGAGATACCATCTGGTTCCAGTTTTTCTGACTGTTTGTGGAGTGTGGTGATTCCAACAATCTTCTACCAAATGTAAGGGAGTGATAGAAGTGTTTAGTGTTTGCCACAGAGATATCTCTTACTTGGCCTGATCTCAGTGCACTGCTTTTTGGGTTTACTTGACAAATTGGACAATGCTCAGCCCCTCTTCCATGGACTCTTTCCTAATCTCTTTAGCCAAGGTTACACTGTGACTCCTCAAAGTCTCCATATATCACAGCACTTTTGTGGGAGACCAATGCTACTTCAAATCTCTGCCAATAGCACCATGTTTCCTTTCATTGCCAGCTTTTTAGGACTCTAAAGCCTACTTGGCCATTAGCTTTTTTTTTTTTTTTTTTTTTTTGAGACAGGGTCTCACTCTGTTGCCCAGGCTGGAGAGTAGTGGTGCAGTCACAGCTCACTGCAGCCTCAACCTCTTGGGCTCAAGTGATCTTTCCACCTCAGTCCCCCAAGTAGCTGGGACTACAGGTTCTCACAACCACACCCAACTAATCTTTGTATTTTTTGTAGACACAGGATTTCGTGATGTTGCCCAGGTTGGTCTCAAATTCCTGAGCTCAAGAGATCCTCCCATTTTGGCCTCCCGAAGTGCTGGGATTACAGACATGAGCCACTGTGCCCAGACTAGCTATTTTTAAAATTGGAGTTTGAGGAAGGAGGAACAGAAAGGCTGCTTCTGCTTAGTAAATGACTCCCCACCGCCAACACACGTACCCAGTGGATGGCAACACCCATGAAAGTCCTTTTGTCCTGCTGGGAATGATGGATTCCAAACTCTACAGGACTCTGCACTAGTCAGCATCTGCTCTTCCCTCTTGAGTCAGAGCAGCCTGGGGTATATCATAGGCATCTTGAGGCTCACCTTCTACAGAAGGTCAGAGAGCACAGCAAAAATAGCTTTCTTGCTGTGACCTAATACATAAACCCCAGCCCACTTCCGTCTGTCAGATGGGAGCACGCCCCTGTCCTCGGGTTGTTTTTCCGCTGTCGCAACAGGCTGTTCTGCCGTTAATCCTTTCCTGTAATTCCTGTCACCTCCCTCGATCTTGCAATTCTCTGGCCCAGTGGCCTTTACAGGGGGTCATTACTGGGACACGGGGAACCAATGTGCGGTAAAAAATGCAACCTGACAGCAACATGTTCCTCGCCAAAAGTGGGACTCTTGGGTTTTGTGTGTGTCAACTCAGAAGAAGCGACAAAAAGACCCCACCATGTGTTGGATGAGGATGGAAATTGGGTGCAGTGACTACAAGGTGCTTTGATTAGGTGAATCCGTTGGTAGTAAGAAGGAAGAGATTTTCAAGGTGCTTGGCCTTTCGCTTTGGCTTACTTTAGGTGAACAGTCCCAATTCTGTCAGGCGTGCATCTCTTCGTCCGTCAGCTCCGTGTCTCTTGCCAGCATGCTTCTCTCTATCCATCAGGCAGAATTTTCAGATGTTGTCTTTCCTGTCAGGAAAAGTTTAATTCATCATTTTCCTCAGGCCTTGAAAAAATTTTTACAGGAAAAAATGGTGGTGGTGGGTTGGGGGTGGGGGGTTATGACAAATACATTTACAGATTTTTCTTCACATATAATTTAAAAATTGCCTATTTTTGCCAGGCACAGTGGTTCAAACCTGTAATCCCAGCACTTTGGGAGGCCGAGGCAGGTGGATGACCAGAGATCAGGAGTTCAAGACCAGCCTGGCCAACATGAAACCCCGTCTGTACTAAAAATACAAACTTAGCTGGGCATGGTGGTGGCACACTCCTGTAATCCCAGCTACTTGTGAGGCTGAGGTAGGAGAAGCCCTTTAACCCGGGAGGTGGAGGTTGCAGTGAGCCAAGATCACACCACTGCACTCCAGCCTGGGCAACAGAGCAAGACTCCATCTCAAAAAAAAACAAAAAACAAACAAAAAAACCCTTAATTTTGAGTAGGTAATACATACACACAGTACAAAAGTCAAAAGGTTCATACAAATGGAAAAAACTCCATACTCTCTTCCCCTCCATTCCCCAGGCACCCAGCTGCACTCCACAGAGGCAACCCTGGGTACTAGGGGTTTACATCTTTCTAGAGACTGTCTCTGTATAAATTAGCAGAGATAGTCTTCATATGCCTTTTGAGAGCATCTTTTTAAAATTTCTAAATCTAGGTTAGTTCAGAAAAGCAATATATTAAATATACATTAAAATATACTCAATGTGACCGGTCATGGTGGCTCACCCCTGTAATCTCAGCACGTTGGGAGGATGAGGTGGGAGGATGACTTGAGGTCAGGAGTTTAAGACAAGCCTGGTCAACATGGCAAAACCCTGTCCCTATTAAAAATACAAAATTAGCCAGGCAACGAGCCGGATGTGGTGGCGCATGCCTGTAATCCCAGCTACTTGGGAGGCTGAGGCAGGAGAATTGCTTGAACCTGGAGGTGGAGGTTGCAGTGAGCTGAGATTGTGCCATTGCACTCCATCCTGGGTGACAGAGTGAGACTCTGTCTCAAAAAAAAAAAAAGAAAGAAAGTATATACATATACACACACATATATTCAATGTATTGAATGGTCTGTCCAGTTGAAGCCCTGATTCTAGACTAGATAATTTGTTGGCTTTCTATTAGATCACACTAGCAGAAATGTGACTGGACTTATAATCAGTTTGGAAGCATTGTGGATACTTGGGAGTCTGATGTTTCTTATCCCTTAACATTCAGCTCATCTTTCCTGAGTTATACCTCTTAGTCATTTCCCTTTGAAATTAAGAGAAGGGCCCCAAATCTTAAAAATGGAAGAATACAGCTGGGCATGGTGGCTCACATCTGTAATCCCAGCACTTCAGGAGGCTGAGGCAGGCAAATCACCTGAGGTCAGGAGTTCGAGACCAGTCTGGCCAACATGGTGAAACCCCATCTCTACTAAAAATACAAATATTAGCCGGGCATGGTAGCGCACACCTGTAATCCCAGCTACTTGGGAGGCTGAGGCAGGAGACTGGCTTGAACCTGGGAGGCGGATGTTGCAGTCAGCTGAGATCACACCACTGCACTCCAGCCTGGGTGACAGAGTGAGATCCATCTCAAAAAAAAAAAAAAAAAAAAAAAAAAAAGGAGGGATAGAAGGTCTTGTGTTAAGACATAGGAGAAAAGTTAGTTGAGAATCTCACTGGCCACACCCCAAGAGTGGACATTTGGCTATTGGGGGTACATTGGGTGGTCTAGGGAATTGGCTGGGTCTGGGACATACTCGTTATGCTCATGAAACTTAGAGTAGAACAGAACAACAGCAGCTGCTATAACGACGCGAAAGGTCCTTTGATGAATTTTAATACCTGGATGCATAAATATTTGTGTTTGATACTTTTAGGCATCTGAAAGAAGTGTATGATTTCCCTGCTAAGGGATTGGCCTCAGGAACAGACGCACCCAGTGTTGAAATTCTCCGCAGCCTTGTGAGAGGCAGCGATTCTTGTGCATCTGCCCTCTGCCTGTGTTGGAGCTGCTAAATTGTAAGAATGGTAAAATGCTTGTAAAAACCTTCAGCTCCATAAATATTTTAAAATTTAAATTTAATTTTGTTTTAGAGATGGGGTCTTGCTCTATTGCCCAGGCTAGTCTCAAACTCTTGGGCTCAAACCATCCTCCCATGTCAGCCTCCAGAGTAGCTGGCACTACAGGCACAGGTCACCATACCTTGCTTTGCTCTTTATTTTTTTTTTCTTTTTTTTTGAGATGGACTCTTCCTCTGTCACTCTAGTGTGCAGTGGCACAATCTCAGCTCACTGCAACCTCTACTTCCCAGGTTCCAGCGATTCTCCTGCCTCAGCCTCCCGAATTGTTGGGATTACAGGCATGTGCCACCATGCTTGGCTAATTTTTGTATTTTTAGCAGAGAGGGGGATTCACCACGTTGGGCAGGCTGGTCTCGAACTCCTGACCTTAGGTGATCCACCCACCTTGGCCTCCCAAAGTACTGGGATTACAAGTGTGAGCCACCGTGCCTGGCCAGCTCTTTAAATCTTAGCCTAGTAACTCCCTGACTAACTTCTCAGCTGCTTTGCTCAGTTTAACCATTTCTGACTGAATGCTTTATTTATAGGTTGACAATTCTCGGTACCCCTAGTCAGCCAAATGTGTCTCTCTCCACAACAGAAACCCACCTTCTCGTGGCTGCAAGCTGTGCAGCTGAAGAGGAATTCTGGAGAAAGAAGGAGAATCCTTTTGTCTGGGTCTATTAATGCTACGCAATGTGTCTGAGTTCTTGGAGGGAGACATGTCTATTTCTTCCTCATTCCCTCCCACTGACTATACAGGAGAAAGTGTATGGAGCTTACTTCAGAAAAATTATTAAGTCCCAAAGATGTGGAGCGTTTTGAATTTTATTCAAGTCCAACCTTGCAGGGCAACAACTCAACACAGCCATCCCTGCTCTTTCAGGGGAAGCCACAAGTGTGGGAAGACAGGCAGCTAAGTCTAGGGCACAAATTAGTCATATTGTCTCCTTAGATCCTGAGGGCCTGCGTAACCCTCAAGGTTTCCTGGTGTCATCTTAAGGTGCTAGTTATTCCATTCTGGCTGCCTTTTGATTCATTTGGTTTTCTGCCCACAGGCAAGCAGAGGCGAAACCAACCTGCCAACACTTACCTCAAACCCATTGAGAGAGACCTGGGGATTTCCTAGGGTTTTATTTTTACCTATTGCTCCCCAAGCAGAAGTTCCATTACACAGAAGCGTTTCTTTTTTCTTTTTTATTTTTGAGACAGAGTCTTACTCTGTCACCCAGGCTGTCATGCAGTGGCACCATCTCGGCTCACTGCAACATCTGCCTTCTGGGTTCAAGAGACTCTCATGCCTCATCCTCTCGAGTAGCTGGGATTACAGGTGTGTGCCACCACATCCAGCAAATGTTGTATTTTTAGTAGAGATGGGGTTTCGCCATGTTGGCCAGTCTGGTCTCCAACTTCTGACTTCAAGTGATCTGCCCGCCTCAGCCTCCCAAAGTGCTGGGATTACAGGCATGAGCCACCGTGCCCGGCCACACAGAAGCATTTCTCAGTGCCTAGTCTAGTTCGCATATCAACTATTAGGGAATAAAGAACCCATCAAGACCTTGCATTGGACTCCCCGGGTGGAATGACATGTGCCTATCAAGGCCAGCGCCCCTTGAAACCCACCTCTTATTTCTGTTGGCACTGCTCCCACCCAGACAGAAATGAGTTAGAGTGAGGCATTCTCCCTAGTAACCATGGGAAGTAGGATTTTTCCCTGCAGAGGAGCAAAGGAATAGAGGAATGAATATCTTTGACTCCTACTCCTATTCACCTTATGGGAGTCTTCTCTGATCCCCACAGCTAAAACACCACCACTTCTACTGCATTCATCTTCATGCTCTTATCCGGCTTTATCTTTCCTGTCTTTTCCCCCACCAACACTTACCTCCCCCCGCCCTAGAATGTGAGTCCCCTGAGCACCGGATTTGTCTAATTAATTTACTGCTGTATCCTCAGTGCCCCAAACAGTGCCTGTCCCGTTTCTGAGTGCACACAAAAAAATACCTGTTAAACAAATAGGGGACCTCTACTATTGCCAGGCGCTGTGTCAGATGCTGCGCATACACTATACATGTGACACAGGTAGGTGTTAGTGACATCATTCTACAGATGAAGAACCCAGGGAGTAAGAAAGGAGGTCACAAGGAGGTCACGTAACTTCCTCAAGGTCACACACTTAGTAAATAGTTGAGCATTTACTGCCTCTAGAAGGTCTACCCTCTAGAACTCAATCCCTTTTGTCAAATGCAAGAGCTAAAGAAATGTAGGGTAGAGTGTGTTTCACTCTTAAAACCCTCTCAGTTTTCTACCTAGGTAGAATTTAGGAAAACAGAAGGGATGGCAAATATATACATACACACACACACACACACACACACACACAGATACAGAGAAAACCTTCTTGAGGGTTACAACTCAAACAAGCACAGCCCAATACAAAATACTCTGAACTGAAATCAAACGACAATTCTCAGTATCTCAGAGGGTTTGATTAGTTTACTTAAAGTTTTTCAATCATCCCGTGTGCATTTACTGAGGCCCTCGTATGTGCCAGGCTCTGGGCTAAGTGCTCCAATACTAAGAGAAAGGTGGGAGACTTAGCCCTGTTGGATCTACTGTCCACCTAAGAACAATGAACCCAAGAGGTGTAAGAGACCAGGATTTCTGAAGAATACAGAAGAAATATTCAGTGTGCTTGGAGAGCAAGTGAAAGAGGGTCTGGCATAGACTATGGGGCAGGGAGAGTAGGTCAGGGAAGACTGGCTTGAGGAAATGGTTTTAGAATGGAACTAAACTTACCCTGGAGATTATAGTTGTCGAAGAAAAGCAAATCATAAACAGCCAGGACACACAACACAGACGTTACAGACACTGACAAGAGGAAACCGGAAGGAGGCAATTAGATTCATGGGCAGGAGCTCAGAGGAGAGGTATGGGCTGGAACTGTATATTTGGAAGTCATTGGCTTACAGAGGGTAATTGAAATTGTAGGTGTCGATGAGATCATCTTGGAAAAAAATTATACAGCAAGAAAAGAAGGGAGTCCAGCACTGAGCTTTAAGGAAGCCTAACACGTAGTGGCTGGGAAGGGGAGGAGTTACCAGCCAAGATGCCCGGGAAGGGGCGGGCCAGAAAGGCAGGAGGAAATGCAGGAATTGTGGCCACGTGAAACCCAGGGGAGAAAGGTTCTCAAAGGAATCACGTGTGCAGAGCCAGCACTGCTGGGGGGCCAGAGATAGGGGGACGCAGAGATGAACAGGTGACAAGGAGGCCATAGGTGACCCTGGGGAAAGGTCCTTAGGTGGCATGATATGAGCAAGAGTCTGATGACAGGCAGACGAGAAAGGGTGGGAAGGGAGGGAATGGAGATGGTATCACCCAGTGGTCTGCAAACCAGGACCCACACACCAAATCTGGTTGGAGGCCTATTTATTTATTTATGATGTATTTATTTATTTTGCAAGGGCCTGTTCTTGTAAAGGAGATTTCACTGGAACCCAGCCACACTCATTCACTTACATACATATTATGGGCTGAATTTTATCCTCCTCCTCCACACTCAATTTTTTAAATTGTGTATATTTAAGGTATAAAACATGATGTTTTGATATACACAAACATAGGAAAATGATTTCCTTTTTTAAAAATTTTAATCAGGCCAAAAGAGAGAGAAAAAAGAATAAATGTTCTTATAGTGAAATAATTCCTACAGTCAAACAAATTAACACATTTCCTCATCTCATATAGCTACCTTTCTGTGTGTGGTAGAAGTACCTAACAACTGCTCTCTTAGCAAATTTCCAGTATACAATACGTTATTATTATTATTATTATTAGAGACAGGGTCTCACTCTGTTGCCCAGGCTGGAGTGCAATGACAGTCATGGCTCACACTGCCACTTGAAACTCCTGGCCTCTAGTGATCCTCCCGCCTCAGTGTCCTGCGTAGCCAGGACTACAGGAATGTGCCACCACACCTGGCTAATTTATTTTTAAATTTATGTTATATCTTTTGTAGAGACGGGAATGTCTATATATTGCCTAGGCTGGTCTCGAACTTCTGGCTTCAAGCAATCCTCCTGTCTCAGCCTCCCAAAGTGCTAGGATTATAGGCGCAAGCCACTGTGCCCGGCCACAATACAATATTATTATTAACCAGAGTGTTTCTCCCAAACTAATATGCTGAAGTCCTAACTCCAGTGCCTTAGAATGTGACTATATCTGGAGACAGAGACAGGGTCTTTAGAGAGGTGAATAAGTTAAAATGTGGTCATTAAGGTGGGCCCTCATCCTGATAAAGAGGGGGAGATTAGGACAGACACACACAGAAGGCAGGCCATGTGAAGACACAGGGAGAAGATGACCATCGGCAAGCCAAGGAGAGAGGCCTTAGGAGAAATCAACCTTACCAATACCTCGTTCTCCGACTTCCAGCCTCCAGGACTGTGAGGAAATACATTTATATTGCTTACGGCACCCAGTCTGTGGTTCTTTGTTATGGCAGCCCTGGCAGCCCAATGGCTATTTTTGCACTACAACAGTTGCAGAATTGAGTAGTTACAACTGAGGCTACGTGGTGAGCAAGGCTAAAAAATATTCAGTAGCTGGCTCTTCATAGACATTGTTTGCCAAGGTTAGGCATGGTAGCTCACCTGTAATCCCAGCACTTTCAGAGGTGAAGGCTGGTGGATCGTTTGAGCCCAGGAGTTTAAGATCAGCCTGAGCAACATGGAGAAACCCCATCTCTACAAAAAATACCCGCCCCCACCAAAAAAAAAATTAGGCATGCTGGCATGCACCTGTAGTCCCAGCTACTTAGGGGACTGAGGCAGGAGGATCACTTGAGCCTAGGAGACTGAGACTCCAGTGAGCCATGATCGTGCCACTGCACTCCAGCCTGGGCTACAGAGTGAGACCCTGTCTCAAAAAAAGAAAGAAAAAAAGAAAAAGAAATTATTTGCCAATCCCTGATACAGACAATTGTTTCAAGGTCATATACCTGGCACATCCCAGAGTCAGGATTTGAACCCCAGTCAGCATCAGTGACTCCTGTTCCCTGCCCTACCCCCTGGGAGCAGGCTGCTTCCCCTCAGCCAGGAGGGCTGGAGCTCAAAGAGTCAAGTCAGCATAGTTCTTTTCTTTTCTTCAGTTCATGCTCTGTCCTGTGGGCAGCTGTTGTGGGGAAATGCTGAGTCATAAATAATTCTTACATTAATGCCAAGGCAGCCGGAAGGGAAATGTCAGTAGGAAATGGTATTTCAAACAAGCACAAATTTCATAATTCAGTCAATTTTTTAGACCATTTCTCACAGCAACATTTTCTTAACTTGAGTTTTGGTAAACTCATAATCATTCATAAATGTGGATACAACGTACCTTCATTTGGACATGTGACCCAGATATATACATGATATAGAATAGGCCAAACGGATCAGAGCAGAGAGGAACCATTGGTCTTGTGTAGAACGGACCCTTGTATCTTTACATCACCCACGACAATTAGAGTATTGACATTCACTGTTTGAGCTTATCATTGAGAAGCTCCGGGAAGCTTTGATTTCTACTAAACAGAATGGCTCGTTAGTGTAATTGGATCCTCCCAGAAATATATTGCAGAAGTCAGCCGTCACCATCAGCTTCATTCCCTTGAAGGCCTCTTCAAGGTAGTGCCCAGAGACACAGGGGTTGCCAATACCGGTGTCTGCAGGTCCCGGAGCGTGGGCTAAGGAAGAAGCCAGTTAGGCACAGAAAACACCTTCCTCTACCCCATCGCCCCCAGCCTATTGTGGTGATGAGGAAACACGGGCCAGCTGTTCCCAAATCTTCTGCTTTTTCACAAGAAGCCGGAAATCCAGATTGGATGTGAAATTTCCTAATTTCTAAATCTTGGCAACTAATTGAAATAAAAATAAAAACACAGAATTTTTTTTTTTTTTTTTTTTTTCCGCCTGTGGGTTGGACCCCACCCTAGGACCCCTGTTAATGACGCCTGCTCTGATGAGACTCCACGGCCGCGGTGAAGGGGAAGGGTGAAGGTCAAAATTAGTCTGAACTCACCGGTGTTCATCACTCCGCATCGCAAAACCCCGCTTCCACATATGGTCTTCCCCTGTGCATTTCTGTGGCTGTATCTGACTTACCCAGTCTCATACCCAGTTTTTCTCTTCCCTTTATTTCTGGATACTGAAATTCTTGAGGTTATTTAAGCCACGGCTGTTTTAAAATGTCAGCATCTGAACCTCATGTTCCCAAGCAAGGAACTGCTGGCTGAGTTGGGTCAGCAGGAAGGAATGGACTAGATTTTTCTGCCACCCTGACGATGTTTTCTAAACCTGGAGTGAGGCTTCCTGACTCTGTCTCTGCCACTCTTCACATAGGAGTTGCCAAGGAACAGATGAAGGGATACTAAAAATATAAGCTTTGCCATCTCTCTGTTCTTTTTTCTTCAAATCTTTTTTCCATAAATATGCCTCCCCTCTTGAATCTCCATTTGTTTTTCTCATTTGTTCAATCATTTATTCACTCAGTAAACATTTATGAAGCAAATAATGTGTGCCAAGTACCACCTTAGGTGCTGAGAGGGCCAAGACAAATCAGACTCGGTCCTTGCCAGTGAAGGGCCTATGTCTATGGTGAGTGAATGTTTGCATCCTCCTCAAATTCATATGTTGACATCCTAACCCCCAAGGTGATGGTATTAGGAGGCGGGGACTTTGGGAGGTGATTAGGTCATGAGGGCCTAACCCTTATTAATGGTATCAGTGCCTTATAAAAGAGATCCCAGAGAGCTCTGTTGTTCTCTTTCTGCCATGTGAGGGCATGAGGAGAAAGAGGCCATCTATGAACCAGAAATGGGCCCTCACCAGATGCCAAACCTACTAACACTTTGATCTTGGACCTCCCAACCTCCAGAACTATGTGAAATACATGTTTGTTGTTTAAGCCACCCCATTGATGATATTTTTGTTGTACAAGCCTAAAGGGACTAAGACATGTAGGTTCCTGGATGATCCAGAACTGAGGCCCAGGTATGTCTGGTGACCACCACTCCCACATACATAACCCTCACCACCCCCTCCTAGGTATGGTGAATTTGGCTTGAAAGAGTGGAAGTGAACAATAAATATTAAATTGAAAGGGATACCATGGAGTTCTCTAGGACAAAAAAAAAATCGTCATGGTAGATTCCTTTAAACCAAGCAATAATTTTAGCAAAGGCATTACTAAAGTTTCTTTTTCTTTTTCTTAATGGACTTTATTATATTTTAGAGCAGTTTTAGGTTTACAGAAAATTTTTATTTATTTATTTATTTTTGTACATGAATAAGTTCTTTAGTGGTGATTTCTGAGATTTTGGTGCACCCATCACCTGAGCAGCACACACCATACCCAAAGTGTAGTTTTTTATCCCTTACCTGCCTCCCACCCTTTCCCCCGAGTCCTCAAAGTCCGTTGTATCATTCTTATGCCTTTGTGTCCTCATAGCTTAGTTCCCTCATGGCAAAATTTTGAGGAGGGTAAAGAGAGTTTCTGTATTCCCCTTGCCACTGTACACAGCCTGCCTCACTATGAAATCTCACACCAGAGGACATATTGTTTACAATCAATGAACCTACATTGACACATTATCACCCAAAGTCCATAGTTTACATTAGGGTTCACTCTTGATGTTGCATATTCTAAAGATTTGGACAAATGTATAATGACATGTATCCACAATTACAGTATCATACAGAATAGTTTCACTGCCCTAAAAATCTTCTGTGCCTTCCCTATTTGGATTATTTTTTTCACTTTGAAATGCTTAAGAACAGCCTCAGTAAAATGTTTGTATCCTAGACAATGAATGGTTTGATCTCTATAGGAATGAGCTGGTTGTTATCATGTCAGAGTTTGGGGGTAAGCTGCAGATGCTAATATAGGGACATAGAAGATTTTCCCCCCCAAAATTAAGATTAGCAAATAGCATTAAGGCAGTTAACCTTGATGAAATACCTACCAAGAAATGAGTGACGTTATTCTGGAACTACTATTCTCCTCCCATCTCTTCTCTCAGCGTTTGCCATCCAAACCATTTGGAAGCTTTGGTGCTTGATGCATTGCAGTATCTTTTTTTTTCTTTTCTTTGAGAAAGACTATCTTAATTTCTAGTTCAATTTGAAAGTCCTTGCTGCAGTGAAGAACATCTATATTTGCTGAGTTTTACCAGGAAAGGAAGGCATATTCAGTCCAACCTCCACTGGACTAATGTTTTAGGAAGCCTCAATCATTCCCACCCATGAAGAAAAATCTTCTCAAAAAATTTTGCAAAATATTATATTTTAAAAATGTGTGGGCCGGGTGCAGTGGTTCATGCCTGTAATCCCAGCACTTTGGGAGGCCGAGGAATGTGGATCACCTGAGGTTGGGATTTCAAGACCAGCCTGGCCAACATGGTGAAACCCTGTCTCTACTAAAAATACAAAAATTAGCTGGATGTAGTGGTGCATGTCTATGATAGCAGCTACTCAGGAAGCTGAGGCAGGAGAATCGCTTGAACCTGGGAGGGCAGAGGTTGCAGTGAGCCGAGATCACAGCCACTGCACTCCAGCCTGGGCAACAGAGTGAGATTCTGTCTCAAAAAATATATATATATTTAAAAGCACATATTAAACCAAATATTTAATGTATTTTTATATTACAGTGTTTGGTTTCACTTTGCTATCTGTTTATAAATGCATCAACTTGTGTTTTATTTTACTGTCAAAATAGATATCTATAGATCCATAGTTTGTTTCTGTTTTTATTTTATTCATTTATTTATTTATTTCGAGATGGAGTTTCGCTCTTTCGCCAAGGTTGGAGTGCAATGGCGCCATCTCAGTTCACTGCAACCTTTGCCTCCCAGGTTCAAGCTATTCTCCTGCCTCAGCCTCCTGAGTAGCTGGGATTACAGGCATGTGCCACCATACCAGGCTAATTTTTTTGGTTTTTTTTAGTAGAGATGGGGTTTCACCATGTTGGCCAGGCTGGTCTTGAACTCCTGACTTCAAATGATCTGCCCTCCTTGGACTCCCAAAGTTCTGGGATTATAGGCATGAGCCAAGGCACCCGGCCAAGATCCGTAGTTGGAATGGGCTTCCAGGATTGGGATAGATAGTAAAGGTTCAGCTTAGGCCTGTTCCATTTGTGACTGTTGTCACAAATGTTAAATTTGGAGTCACCTGCCCTTGAACTCACCCCTGACCTGGCCAGAAAAATGGAAGCATGTCAACGGTCTGGGGACGAAAGGACCCTATGTGAAATCAAAAGAATTGTCTGGTTAACCATGTTACACCTTGGGTCCAAATAACTTTGAGTACAGGCACATTTAAGAACAGAACCTAGAGATGAAAGAACTGCTCCCTAATGGATGGAGTGAGATGAGCCCTACTGGCCAGGGTCGTCAGACAGCCCTGGTTACTGGCCTGGAGACAGGGACAGTGCTGAAAACTGTACCCAAGAGACATTCCTACTATAGCTGAGACACGTCTGGGGACTCCCCACGACACACACACAATGGAGCCCAGAAATGGAGGCTAAGGCCCGCAGTAGTGCAGTAAAGGTTCACCTTAGGCTGAAGGGGTTCATGAGGTAGGGAAACATTGCATTAACAATGACTGTGACCTGAGTTGTGCCTGGACCAGTCAATAAGGGGTATTTCTCAACTCCAAGCTTGCCCCTGCCCCACCCTTCTGTACTCTGCTTTGTGATTCGGGGGGCTGGACCTCTGCAAACCACATTTTCGCTTTGGAGCTGGCTCCTTCTGAAGCTCTTCCCATCTTCTCATGCGCGGATGCAAGAGAGAGACTGCGAAGCTGGAGGAGGAGGAAGCCCCTGTTCTTTCCTGACCACTTTCTGCTCCTGTGAGTGGCACCCAGGCAACGCTTCATTAAGAAGCGAAATGAGCATTAACCATTTCATGCTCAGCAGTAGCACCAGTTCCTTCCCGGGTCCACCACTGAATCCAGTCTGTAGTATTTTCAACGCTTGTAGATCTGGTCTCCTCACAGCCCCTCGCAGACCTCAGCTGGAATGTACGGCAGCCCTCCTTAAGAATCTAGTGCTCAGCTCCGCACAGCTCTTCCTCCAAACATCTAAGCTTTAATAGTTTGAGCCTCTTCTTTTCGTTCCCCAAGTCCCACTGCTTCCTCTAGTTTCCACCTCCAGGGTAGTTTTGCATTATCTTTCTGCCATTTATGTTACCTAGCACATTTTATGTTATCAGCAAATTTATACTGAGTTAACAATTAAATCCTCGGTATTCAAACAACTCATGCATTTTCTGTTTTGTTTTTTTGTTTGTTTGTTTGTTTGTTTTTTTGAGATGGAGTCTCTCTGTAACCCAGACTGGAGTCCAGTGGTGGTATCTTGGCTCACTGCAACCTCCACCTCCCAGGTTCAAGCTATTCTCCTGCCTCACCCTCCCGAGTAGCTGGGACTACAGGCACCCACCACCATGCCTGGTTAATTTTTGCATATATTTTTTTTTAGTAGAGATGGGTTTTCACCATGTTGGCCAGACTGGTCTCCAACTCCTGACCACAAGTGATCCGCCCTCCTCTGCCTCCCAAAGTGCTGGGATTACAAGGGTGAGCCACAGCGATGGGCCAACTGCTGCATTTTCTATCTCCTTATTGGACTCTGACTGACACATACCTAAAATTTTCTCTGTTTATTCATTCAGGAAATATGTAATGAGTTCCCACTGTGTGCCAAGCATTGTACTTAGTGCTCGGACACAGGGAAGAGGGAAAGAGACAATAACCAATAGAATGGAATCTCTCCACACGCCTCCACTTACCAGAGGGAGAGATTTAAACTTTCAATCTGGGCTGGGCGTGGTGGCTTATGCCTGTAATCCCAGCACATTGGGAGGCCAAGGCGGGCAGATCACCTGAGGTCAGGAGTTCGAGACCAGCCTGGCCAACATGACAAAACCCCGTCTCCACTAAAAATACAAAAATTAGCTGGACTTGGTGGCAGGTGCCTGTAATCCCAGCTGCTTGGGAGGCTGAGGCACGAGAATCACTTGAACCTGGGAGGCAGGGGTCGCTGTGAGCCGAGATAGTGCCATTGTATTCCTGCGTGGGAGACAGAGTGAGACTCCATCTCAAAAATAAATAAATAAATAAACAAACAAACTCTCACTCTGTAAAATCTGTAATAGAAATGGTTAATGCTCATTTGGCGTTTTTTTTTTGTTTGTTTTGTTTTTGTTTTTTATTAAAGACGGAGTTTCGATCTTGTCAACCAGGCTAGAGTGCAATAGCGCGATCTCGGCTCACTGCAACCTCCGCCTCCCAGCTTCAAGTGATTCTCCTGCTTCAGCCTCCCAAGTGGCTGGGATTGCAGGCGCCCACCACCACA